GTGTTGGATTATAATCATAACATCCACTAGCTGACTGATCAAGATTGTTTAAGTATTGTAAAAAAATTTTTTTTGTGCTTCACACCGTATGTAAAATCAATCGTGTAACATCAATGTTCCTCCTGTTACAGTTGGCTCAAAAAGTATATCACAGTTACACAAAAACATAAGTTCATGCAAAATGTATATGTCTCATCTGAAGTACGTAGCGATTTATCTCAAGTAGCCACTTTATATATCTGAAGTAGCACCCTGGCTAAAATTAAAATCTAATGCATGCATGAAGATCTAATTTCAGGGGCGACGTAATAAAATAATCATGATAAATGTATACGTAATAAATCAATCATGCAAAATGTATACGTAATAAATTAATCATAGTATTAATCGTTATTAAATCATATTGCTGAAGTTATTGCTAATAGTGGTTATGCTTGTAAATATTGATATATTATATTATTATATACTGTAATTTGCATATATTATTAATTTGCACATATATTATTAATTTGCATAATGCTAATTTGCATATATGTAGTAAAATATTAATATTTATAAAATTTATATTGTTTTTTGTGTAACCATAATATACTTTTTGAGCCTATTGTACATAGTGTATTGGGATGAACTACCTCAGTATTGCCATAAAAATTCTACCATCATATGACTATAGACAGCAAATTGACCAATAATGAGCTATGATTTGGTGTAATCTAGCATGATTAATAAAATTCAAAACAAATATTAAAAGATTGTTATTTTGTCAAAAATTGCACATTTCTCAAAAATTTGAATAAGAAAACATCTTTTGTGCTCTAACAAAAAAAATTTCTTGACCAATTTTACTATAAACCTGTTAATATTCAACTTTATTAGAAATGTTAACCCTAATTTAAATAAACTTTAAAGAATTTTTCGATTATTATATGATGGTAGAATTTTTATATTAATGCTGGGGAAGATTATTGGGATGTTGCACATCATATGATTAACTATCATAGTGCAACACTATATATAATTTACACTATTTAAGATTTTTTGTCATAGTAATTTATTATAAAAATTATGTATCTTTAAAACATTCTAACTTCTGTTCTAGAAAAAAAAAAAAAAAACAAATTTAATTTTGTAACTTGCAAGTAATATTAGAATAATGTAATTTTAAAACTATGTTGAGACATTTTTAAATTTATTTTAACAATATAGTTAAAAGATCAAATGTTTTTTTAGTTATAAATCTTAATAGTAAAATATTTATAATTTATAAGTTTATACTATAAAGACTTAAAATATTTATATATAATTCTTAAATGTCACAATATAATCTTTTAGCAACACTATATAAATATTATTTATAAGCTGCAGAATTGAATTCATTTTATTAACATAAGAATTAAAACATTTTAAATATGGATTTAAGTATGATATATATAATATATATATTAAATTATTTAATTTAAACTACATTTAAAATGTTTCAACTCTAACACTAGTAAAACAAATTCAATTCTGCAACTTGTAAATAATATATCAATAGTGCAGTTATAAAACTATGTTGTGATATTTAAGAATTATATATAAATATTTCAGGTTTCTATAGTATAAAATTATAAATCATGAATATTTTACTATTAAAATTCATAACTAAAAAACATTTGATCTTTTAACTATATTATTAAAATAAATTTAAAAATATCACAACATAGTTTAAACCTACATTATTTTAATATTACTTGTAAGTTACAGAATTGAATTTGTTTTTCTAAAATGAAAATTAGAATATTTTAAAGATATATAATTTTTATAATAAATTATTATGATGAATTTTTTATAAAAAAAATTTAAATAATATAAATTATATATAGTGTTGCACTATAATAGTTAATTATATGATGTGCAATATCTTAATAATATATAATTTAACTCGAGTTTATAAAATCTTGATTTTGATTAGATGCAATAATCAAATGATTTTTATGATACAGATTCTAATCAGTGTCTGTTATATCAAATTTATATAAATAACCAGTATGACAACTAGTGTGATAACTAGTATGTAATGTTAAAATTAAAAAAATTGAATGTATTTTTATAAAAATCATTTTTAGCTTAAAATTTTGTTTATAAAAAAACATCTTGCAAAATTTTAGTATAAATTTTTTTTTCTATAGTTCTACTTTTATCCTAATACTACTCTAACACTAATTGATGATTTTTTTTAAAAAAAAAAGCAATATAAATACCAAAATTATATAAATATATATATTAATGGTCAGTCCTGACCACAAGTATTGGTTCTGCTATAGTAATATTTAGGTCAGCTATAAAAATAGGTACAGAAGGCTCTGGAGGGTTTATTTCAAGGTTAAATTAATCCTAAAGTTGAGATAATGATCTGAGCATCTGGGTATGACCTAGTGAGTTAACACAGGTTACAGGTTCAGAGGGTTTAAAGTGGAACACCCAAGTAGGAGTGTTAGGTATGGTAATTGGTAGGAAACTTTAGGCAGACTCCTTAAATAAGTAATATAAAAAAGTTACACATGTAACCAATTGTATGCTCTCCTGTAGTGGTTCATTAAACAACAATACTGATAAGTAATTAATAAAAGTCAAAAGACCAAAGAGATCACCTCAACACCAAAAAAAAATATAAAAATATATATAATTGAATCTGATATGTATTAGATCTGCTTTAGATCTAGATGTCATACAAAAAACACAATCAAACTTTTATATCAAATTTAGATTTTTCATACAGATCAAAAGGCATATGATTTGAAAAAAGAAAAAAAGATTTTCTGATTAGAAATTGCTAATGATTTATAAGTATATTTATTAATTTCCTCAATTAATTTTTTACATCAATATATGCTAATGCCTTTGAAACAAGATATGTGATGGTTAACTAGATAAGCTTTCATAACTTGAAGTTTTTCATGCATCAATCTTTGGTTACAATAGTAACATGTTGCTTTATAATGACCATTACCATTATTATTTTCTTATAAATAATATGACCAAATTTTATCAAAATTTGGATCACTAGTTTTTTGTTTTTTTTTGGTTAAAGATTCTGAAGAAAAGCTAATATTATCTGAAATACTTGAGTTTTCATGACTTTAATTTGCCATTGTTAAAGAACAAAAAAAAATTTTATTTATTTATTTTTGTCTCAATTAATTATTTAATAAATACACTAAATTTCATTACAATATATATCACAATTATAATACGTATATACTATTCGTACTTATATTACTACTTACGTTATGGCATATGACATATATAAATACTCACTACTCTATTACGACTACACATGTCATAATACTTGCTTCTTAAATTAACAGCAAAGACCGTTGATGTTACACGACTGATCCTTCACCCGATGTGCAACACATAAAAAAATTATTTTACAAAATCACATCATTCCACTAGTGCATGTTATAATTATAATCCAACACAATTTTTATTATAATAACATGAATGATCTAGTATTGTAAAATAATTTTTTTATGTGTTGCACATCGGGTGAAGGATCAGTCATGTAATATCATCGCAAAAATTACAACTCCAGTAGTAAAGGTCGTAACTCTGTTACTCAAAATGTTTGCACCTCTAAATGTGATCGTTAATTCTTAATTTTTTATCAATATTAATTTATTTAACAGTGTAATGACAAGTAATTTAACTAATTACTATGTATACTATGTATACTTAAATAAGCTATTCAGATTTACTATAAAAGAATTTTGTTAAAAGTTTGAAATTTCGTTAATAACAAAAATTGATAGTACTAATGAGCATAGCTTGTCTGACATTACTAGAATAATGGTTAATATCTTACTCTAATCAAATAACAATTTTTTTATTGAAATTTTTTAGATTGGTAATGTTATTCATATAATTTATTTGTGAGCATAATGCTACAATTTAAACTGACGGCACATCTGATTCTTCTAGTTTATGATTGTGTTAATTATGCAGATTATGTAGTAAACAAGTATCAACTCTAAATAGTTAAAAAAAACAGTTAAAACCAATTTAATGATCTAGTAAAATTAAAAAAAAAGAAAAAAACTATCTAATATTATATAAAAATCAATTATTAAGCTGAAGTTGAATTAATAAAATTAGCAGCTTCAACCCACAATAAACTTGGATCTCTAATATTTTGTGCATCATAATATAATCTGTGATCTGCAGGTCTAAAATCAAAATCTAGCACTGTGTCAGGATTTTTTAAACTATACGCTTCTTTTAAAGTAAAGGTCAATCCAAGATTATTATATCGACTATTTAAAGGAGGTAAATCGGTTATATCAAGGTTTGTTAAGACTTGAAACATGGTAAAACTGTCAAAAACCTGTCCCCCAGTGAATGAAGCGAAAGATAAATCTTGATTTGCAAATCCTCCAACAGAAACTGTGCGTATTTGGCCAACTTCTGAAAGATATTGAGAAATAAGAGAAGCAGCGGAACCAGAAGCTCCATTTGAAAGAATAATTATATTTTCAGCATCCCAAGGCAATTTAATTAGGCCAGATAAATCGGTATCAATAAAATGTTTTGTAGAATATTTAGAAAGACTACCACCTCTTCTAAATTCGTTGGATCCTATGAACTCTTCGGGAGAATCATAAGTTTTGCCAGTTATAAAGTTAATAAGCCTAATAGGATCTAAAGGATCTGGATCAGCCTTATTGAAAGCTTGAGTAATTGCTTTTTGCACTAAATCAGATTGAACGTTCATATCATCAGGAAAAGGTGTAAAATTAGAAGGTACTAAGAGTGCATCGATAAATTGAGCATATTGAATCCCTCCACCAGGATTATTTGATATATCAATAACAAGCTATTAAAAGAAAACAAATGTTATCAATAAAATACACAGAAAAATAAACTATTATTAATATATAACATACCTTTTTTATTGAGGAATCATTAGCCAATGTTTTAAATCCCTTTAATGTTGACTCAGTATCCCCAACCTCACTAATTAGAACTATAATACCAAAATCAGAATTGATAGATTTATAAAATTGTGCATTACCAGCATCAAACACTAGGGTAGCTTTACTTAATTTAACAGAGTTAGAAGGTTGGGGATTTTTAGTTAATATTTCTTTTACTTTGGGATGAAAAGTGTATGGAACAATGTTAAGTTCTTTTGTTACTTTGAGATCTTCGAGTGTTTTAGGCCCACCGGTATTAACTAAACAAAAATCTTTATAGAAAGATTCATTTTGCCCTTTAAATTCTAAAAATGTAACGAACCATTCCCTCGTAACATTTTTAGTTACCGTATTTGGGCAAATTAAGGCGTATTCGATACTATCCGTTTCAGGCAAATCTACTCGAACAGTGAATTCACTTCCTAATACCCATGGTTTACCATCTACTAGAGATATAGAAGTTAATGCATTATTTAAACGAACGCCGAGATCACGTGAGATAAAACTCTGATTATTGGCAAAGTTTTTGATTGCATCAAAAGCAGGTATAGAGTCAATAAAAGACACTTCGCAATCAATATTCGTAGGATCAACTAAATCATCAAAAACCTTTATGACCTATTACATTTATCAAATTAAAACAGTATAATTAGAAAATGTAATTAATATTATAATGGTATATTATAATCAAAATCATTAATAATAACCTGTTTTCCATTTTCAATCACGGAATATAAATACAACTTTTGTTCGAATAAAAAGTCACCAAAGCAAGAAGGAATAAATTGCGTATGTGCATCTCGTAATTTTTTATAAGTATTTCTTACGGAGTTCTAGATTATCAAATAAAGATAAAAATAGTATATCTCAATAAATTTATAGTGTCTAATAAAAAATATCGGATATTTAATGATTAAATAATTAATTACCATGAATTCAAATTCCGATTTAGGATTGCTCTTGATAATTTTATCCAATTCTTCGATTAGATCTACTGATTCAAATGTAAATCCAGGTTTTTCTTGCTCTCTGGCTTGATTAAATAACACGTAGAACTCAGAAGTGTACTTTTTTAACAAATCGACAGTCTGATTTTTAATAATAAATATCAAAATAGCAATGAATAGAATAATTTAATTACAATGATCATAATTATAATGATTCATTATTTTAAAATTTTACCTCATTTGCCACGAATGCGTTATATGGAAAACTAGTCAGACAATTTCTCACATCAGTGTATTTAGGATGAAGTGTTGCTACAACTGGGGCACATGGGTCATCATCTCTTTTAAGAGGATGAGAATTAATGGATGAAATTGCAGAAAAAATCAAGAAAAGAGATATTAAAAAATATGAAAATGATCTATAAAAAGTCATTCTTTCATAAATAAACTATTTTGATATCGGGAAAATTATTATGTTTGTTTTATACGTATTACAATTATTAATACTAAAATAATTAAACTAAAATGATTAAATTATTATTGACGAATTATTCTGATATTTCACCCTTTTTATATATGATTCTTTTATAAGAAAATCTCAATTTTATTTAATAATTTACATATTTTCATTATGATCTTCCATAGAATTCACTTTTTAATTATGATTATGATTTAAAAACTAACTTTCTTTTTAAATCGTGATTAATATTAAAAACCGTTTAGTAATTATGTATGATTGGCCTCATACGATTTTCACAGACCTTGAATGAATAAACTTTTATAGATTTTATTTATTGTTGAGATAAATAGTGACTAATTCTCCTTTTCAGACCATTGATATTAAGAAAAATTGTAATATAATTGAATTTTCAGTATTTACAATACATTTGTTGGAGCTCAAACAACTTACCTTTTTATGAATATATAAAATGCATTAAGTAGACACAATCTCTCACTTTCTTTATAACAGAAACGAGATGTATTGAGATGGTCAAATTTATTATGCTTTTCAAATTACTGTGATCAGCAAGTTCCACATTAGAAATAAATGTAAATCCAGTACATGGAAAACTTATTTCCGACCAATCACAGATTTGCATGTGAAATTTGATCATTAAAAAAAAGTAATCCCTAATTTCCGATTTCTTCAACATTTTTTTTTAGACTTTTAGACTAGACAAAATTTGTGCATTATCATTTGTAAAAATTTGATTGAATAGTTTAATGCGCAACTCCTATTTCTGCAAATATATTACTAAACGATGAATATACAACTTATGTTTCGATAAAAAAATAATAAAATTTTTACAAAATAATAGATGCGCAAATTTTGTTCAATCTAAAAGTCAAAAAAAAAAGTCGAAATTAGTGATTACTTTTTTTAATGATCTTCGAATTTCACATAATTATTTTTTGGCAAACCGCAATAAATTTCTGATTCTCAGAGTATGGGCGGATTTTGTCGATTTTGGTGATTATTAAAAAAATAATTCATAAAATTTGATCCAATCATTTATGTACTGTACGTTGAGAAATTAAACATTAAAAATATAATCAAATTGTATTTTATGAAATTCATGAATTATATGATTGACTGATTGTCCTCTGAGTTATGAATTGCTGTTTATGAAACTGTTTATGAGACATGATTAAATTAAACATTTTATTTGTATTTGATTGGTTAATTGTACACTTGCTTACTTATATTTTGATATAGTAATGCGCACAATATATTTTTATCATTCAGAGTGGTTGTGTAATTCTATTGTGTCACGTGAAATTTGCTAATAGAACACACTGCAGACACCCTTATGAGGTTCGATATTACGAATAGTAGTGGTGTATGGTTTAGCAAAGTAGTGGAGAATACTGCAAAAATTGCATTTGAGTATATAAAATTAGCATACTATACTCATAATATATTATATGTAAAATAGTCTGGAAGAACACTATCGACTATGGCTGGAATGACATAAATTACACTGATATTTTTTCATCATTTGAAGGTCTTAAAAGGCATCGTCAAAAGACTGTAAATTACGATGATGATTATTGTCGTGCGGCAAATCGGCGAGTCTGTCGCTAATTCCTTCCAATTCTCGTGTAACCTACGGCGGCTAAGTCGAA